AAGACTGGGAATAACAAGTAGCATACTTGCTGTCTTTGAGCAATGCTAGAGATAGGATGCTGGCTGTTACCCTGACGAGCCCTTGAGTATTGAGACCCTCCTAACCATGCATGCATCTTCTATCCAGTAATGGAGCTGGACTTCCTGCCTGGTGCACAGTTAACGCTTTCAGCTGCTACCTGGAAGGTTGGAAGTTCAAGACTACTCAGAGATATCTTGGAAGCAATACCTGGCAATGTACAAAATCAGCCTCCAAAAACCCCGGTGGAGCTTAGTTCTGCTCTGACACATGTGGGATTGTCATTAAGTCAGAGTTGACTCCAGGACAACTTGTTTCACTCCTGACGTTTCTGCGGCATAGCATGTTATGTACCGTAAAGTTGGAACCAACCCATAGTTGACACTCCTGGTGGGTTTTCAGAGGCAGTAAACCCCAAGGAAGGAGACTGCCCGTTTTTCTTCCACAGAGCAGCTGGTGGAGTTGAACTATCTCTCTAGCCCTTTGTTTTCTCCAGCATCACTCCCTCATCCCTTCACTCGCTCCTTAGCATTACTGCCGCTCTACCCAGAGATGGCCCGGAGAGTGATGCAACTTGACCCATTCACACTCCAGAGTCTCCCTGTCGACTGACTCAGGTCTCCAAGGTGCCCTGAAGCTGGGGTTGAGGACCGCCAGCCACAGGACATCCCTTCACCTCCCTGCTGTGAGCTCAAGAGCTCAATGACTCCATGCTGAGAGTGGCCTGCTCCTCTGGCCTCATCCCAGGAAGTGGTGTGTGGGAGAGTCACACCCTGGCTGTCCTTCTCACACACTTAGCAGCTCCTGAGAATTGCTTTATCCCTCCTCCCAGAATTGCCACCATATTGGGAGGATCCCTTTACTCTGTGGACCAAGTAGTTAGGGCTCAGAGAAGTTAAGAAATGTTCTGGAAACCCACAGAATTGGGCACGGGAAGGCTCCTCCCCTGTGTTGTGTGATGGAGGTGGTCTCTCGAAGGGTAGATGGAGTGGGCTGGTGGAATCCTGTCTGCTCTGAGTTTCAAAGGGGATTGATGGAGAAAGGAAGCCTGGCAGCCGCCATCCATATCTACTCTTATTTGGAGCCCGGGCCAGAAACAAGAGCCCAGAGGGCAGCCATAGCTGCCACTGATATTCTGGTCAGGTTACCTGGCACCTCCTAATCCTGGGCCTGATGATGGCAGATCTGAAGGGGAAGCTCCAAGCCCGAGTTTACCAGATGCCCGAGTGGGAACATCATCGTGGGTGAGGGGTACTGTGAAATGGGTTATCAAGCCACCGTAAGATCACAGGCCTGGGACACCAGAGAAACCCTAATCCACTGTCACTGTGCCAGTTCTGACTCATGGTAATCCTACAGGATAGAGCAGAGCCGCCCGTGGGGTTTCCAAGGCTGTAAATCATTCACAAGCAGAAGGCCCCATCTTTCTCCTGCAGAACCATTGGTGGGTTTGAATCCTCGATCTGTTAGCAGTCGCCTTTTAACCAGTGTGTTAATAGAGCTCCTTTTACTTTTTTTACAAGGGGAGATTGGCCAAACATTTTATCTCTTTTTGAGTTACCATCTTGGCCCCTCACGGCAGCCATTCTCAGAGCCTTGGGTGCCTGTCTGAAGCTCTGTGATCAGTGCAGCCTTTTTGGCCAAGTAGAAGGTAGAGATTGGTTCCGAAGGTAGAGGTTTAGGGCTGGGCTGCACCAGCCCTCACAACTGTCGTTTTATCTCAAGACCTTAATGCAGAGCCCCTCCCAGCTACTCCGCCCAGTGCAAAGCCCAAAAGCCACACCCTGCGCCCTGCTCAGAACTTACTCTCCTGCCTCTATATGTCTGCAGGCTGCTAAACAGAATGTCTGCGGACGACCGGCACCTGGGCTCCAGCTGCGGCTCCTTTATCAAGACAGAGCCATCCAGCCCGTCCTCTGGCATTGACGCCCTCAGCCACCACAGCCCCAGCTGCTCCTCCGACGCCAGCGGCGGCTTTGGCATGGCCCTGAGCGCGCACACCAGCGGCCTGGACTCGCCCCCCATGCATGGCGGTGTGGGTCTAGGAGGAAACCCTTGCTGCAAGAGCTACGAGGACTGTGCCAGCGGCATCATGGAGGACTCGGCCATCAAGTGCGAGTACATGCTCAACGCCATCCCCAAGCGCCTGTGCCTTGTGTGCGGGGACACTGCGTCTGGCTACCACTACGGCGTGGCCTCCTGCGAGGCCTGTAAAGCCTTTTTCAAGCGGACCATCCAAGGTGCGTGGAGGGAGGGTGGACGGGTGGGCGTTGGGCACTGCAGGGTAGGTGGGTTGCGTAGGCCGGCCGGTGCAACAGGAAAGCCCGGTGGGCCCATCAGCAGCCCAGTCCAGGCGCTGCTAAAGCAGGGCTTCTGTTGTTGCAGTTGTTAGGTGTCTGCGTGGCTCCCCACCCACGCTGGTCTTATGAACAAGAGCCGACCTTTGCCCTGTCCTGCACCATCCTCATCCTCTCTGACGCTCCCCAGCCCATTGTTACAGCCCCGGTGTCAGCCCATCTTGTTGGGAGACATCTTCTCTTTTCTTGACCGTCGGAGGAACCCCTTTTCTGTTTCTCAGGGTTTCTCTTTCTGGGTTTCTGGACCAGAGTTTTAACTGTCAGACTATAGTTGAAATTGGCCTGTGGCTCACACCCACGTGGAGAAAAGCCACACAGAATGCCTCACCATGTATGCCTTTACTGCTCTGGGTTCCCCCAAAAGGCCTATTTTGGGGGAAAAAAATGACATGGTTTGCTTGGTGATTTCAGGCTTAGAGAAAGATAAAGGTCTGTCACTTGTAAATCTTTTTTAATTACATAAGTAAAACGTGGCTATGTTCTCCCTGGTAGGAGGAGTCAGGCAGATAGATAAGGGGACCCTCCCATGGGCATGCTCTCTCAGTCTGTTTGACATGGTTTCTAGGTGCATTTGCAAAGGAGCTGAATCTCATGCTGATGGGAACGTTGATGCCTCTTTCCCCAGCCTCTAGTTCTGGTGGTGCCTTCTGTAAAAGTGCTCTGCTGGCCCAGTGGCAAGGAGCTGTGCCGCCACCTTGAAGGCCTGCGGTTTGAAACCCCCTGCAGCTCTGAGGCAGGAAGACGGGCAGTTTCCTCCTGTGAAATTTACTGCCTCTGGAAACTTGCTGGAGGGCCAACTACGGGTTGGTTCCAGCTCGATGGTACCTAATAGCAGCAAGTTAACTCGGGATAATGACGTCCCAGCACTAACATCAAGTGCGGGGCTCTGCTCTGTCGTTGTTAGGTGTTATCAAGCCACCCTGTGAACAGTCTTGCCCTATTGCCTGGGTTGCGCATAGCAGCCATGCACTTAGTGCATTGTCAGTGGCAAAGCATGTCATTCATTCCACCAAGTGTCTATGGATTGTTTCCTAAGAGCCAGCTGTTGGTGATCAGGTTTCGAATCTCCACGCATACACTTCCCAACCCAAGAGGACAGAAATGGCCACCAGGCTAGAGAAAGCCCCCTTCCCTGCCCGGAGTCCCTTGAGTCAGGACCCCTCTGTGCCAAGGTGGCCCTCCGTTCTGCCTCTTCTCTCCTCATTTAGAAGAGACAGGCTGAGTGACCCGGGGATAGTTCTCCAACTCTTCGTTCAGCAAATATTTACTTGTTTAAATTTCTTCAGCTGATTATCTGTCTATTACAGTAACTGAGGGCTTTAGGTGTGCCTTGTTTCCAGTTGTTTGTATTGAAGGAATGTGGAAGGATGGCTCATTACTTAGGCAAATCATAAGTTTACCTTACAGCTGGACGACCTTGGCCATGCTACCTCAATTTCTCTCTGCACTTCAATTTCTCCTCTGTGAAGGGAGATATTACCCCTACCTGTTCTTATAGGGGTTAATAGGCTGGAGGGACAGTGCAGGAGAGGAAGACCCTGGATGAGATGGATTGACACAGTAAATGGGGGGTAGGTGTGTCGGAGTCAAAGAGACTGGCACAGGACAGGGCAGGCTTCAGAGCTGCTGTACATAGGGTGGCTATGAGTCACAGGCAACTCAATGGCACATAACAACAATGGGTTTAAATGAATCAATATGTATACTGTTGTTGTATGCCAGTGAGTCAGAAGCAACTCATAATTGACTCTCCAGTGGGTTTTTAGAGGCAGTAAATCTCACAGGAGGAGGTTGATCATTCTTTTCTCGTGAAGTAGCTGGTGGATTCGAATGGCATGCCTTTGCAGGCTTCTTAACACAAGGCCACCAGAGCTCCCTAATGCATACACTGAGCTTATGTGTGTGTGTATATATATATATATTTAAATTTTCTTGTTGTGTACCATCGAATCAGATCCGACTGGCAAAGGAGGAGATTGCCCCTCCTTCTCCAATGAGGTGTATGGTGGATTCGAACCATGTGCCTTTAGGATTGCAGTGCAGCTTCTTGCCACTAGGCCACCAGAGCTCCACTGAGCATGTATATTAAGTATATATTAATTAAAAGCAGTTAGAATGTGGCCTATTGTGTTAGACACAGCAGACAGTTGAGTCAACCTTGACTCATAGCAACCTGCTGAACAACAGAGCCTTACTCTATCTGCACCATCTTCATCATCTCTGACCTGTTGTTTGTTATGTGCCCTTGAGCGGCTTGCGACTGACTCATAGCGACCCCTGTGAACAGCAGCCCTCAAACCTTGCTCTGTCCTGTGCCAATCTCACTGTCTCCTAGCACCGGTAACTACTACAGAAATGTGTGCCATTATTATTTTCATTTTGATCACAGAGCAAGTTTATGTGATCTACACATGTTAGAATGAAACTAATTTTGGCTTAATAGGATTTCAATTTTTTAAACTATTTGTTATTACTGTTATTTGCTGTTCAGTCGACTCACAGTGACCCCAAGAACATAGAGTTGAACCTTGTTATATTTAATATTTATTCTTTTAAATGAACTCTTAAGTTTAAAGAAACAGTAGGAGGGAAAAAAATGCAGAAAAGTTAAGAGCAAAAAGTAAGTTTCCTACAACTCTAGACCCTGGTTCCTTGTTACCTTTCTCTTAGCAAATGTTTATTGAACGTTTTTGTCAAGCACTGTACAAGCCTCCAGGAGATAAAGACTAATTTGCTTTCTGAAGAGAGGCAGACTCATATTTTGAGGACTAGAGAATTTTGGCTCAAATTTTCTGGAAACAGAGGGCTAATAGGAGCTCAGAAATCCTGCTCTCAGCTGAGAGAGCTCCAGCCCAGGTGCTGAAAATGTTTCACACAGAGGATTTGTAAATAACCTTAATTATTTGCTACCACGAACAGGATAATGATCTCTTCTTCGCAGAAGTCCAAAGACAAACAGCAGCTTTTAGCGCAATCAGAGCCCAGCCGTCTCCTCCCCCCTTTTTCTCACAAGAAGGGTTCCATGTGTATAACAAGAAAGAGGTTTGCATATAAGGAGGGAAAATAAACACAGAGGTGGGCTGATTGCTCCGGTCATACTCTTAACTCTTCGGTTTTGTTTGAACAACATGGTAACAACATTTCCATGGAGTCTGAGTTGGAAATAACTCAAAGCTGACCCTCCACTGGGTTTCTGAGCCTCACGGGAAGAGAGTCCCCGTCTTTTTCTGGTGGATTTGAATAGTCAGAGGGGTGCTGCTTTTGAGTTAGCAGGAAAAAGTTCCCTGTGGACTAGGCCACTTGATGCAGCAAGGATTGATTTCCTTGTGGCTTTTCCCAAATTACATACCCCCTCTCCCTGCTCTGTCACTGAGTCTCCTAGGTCTCCTCCCTGTAATCTTAGTGGGAGGAGACAGCTTGGTCTTTCTTTCTTGAAGAAGTAACTGGTGTACTGGACCTGTCAACGTTTGGGTTGGCAGCCCAACAATTTAACCTACTGTGCCACCAGGCCTCCTTTGGGAAATGTAGGCAATTTAGAAAACTAGGAAAAGGGTTATTATTGTTCTGTAGAGTCAGAATTGGCCCATAGCAGACCCTCCAGTGAGTTTTCAGAGGCAGTTAATTGCATGGGAGTAGATTGCCCATGGAGCAGCTGGTGGCCTCGAACTGTGTGCCTTTGGGATTGCAGTGATTCTTCTTGCCACTAGGCCAAAAGGGTTAAGGGGGGGAAAATATGGCGATCATGGCTGACATTAGACAAGCCCAAAGAGAAGCTAGAATTAAGGACGCTTTGTTGAGTCCCTGCTCCCCATAAGATTCCAAGTCTGAGTCCATGTGCTCGAAGGGTACCTTCTATAGGGTTTTTTGGGTCTCTCTGCCAGCTTAGGCGTCTAGGTCCATTTCTCTTGCAGCTTCTGATTGGGTTCAAACTGCCAACCCTTCAGTTGGCTACTGAGTGCTTAACTACTGTGCCACCAGGTCTCTTTCAAGTGAAATCATGAAGCGGGAACAGGGCAGCAGGTACCTGCTCTCAAAGGGGCAAAATCGAATGGTCAGTGCATGCGGGGTGAGCCGTACAGTACTGGGTCCCCAGCCAGGATGCAGTCCCTAAGACGTCCTCCCTACTGAAAAGAAGACTGGGACTCGTCGCAGGGCCAGCAAGTCGGACTTGGGGCCTTTCGTCATGGAATGACTCATTCCTACAGAAGGCTCCGAAAATCATGCCATGCCACACCTTTACCTGACTCCTCAGCTTGCCTCAGAGTGCTCAGTTAGATGGTTGCTCCAAAAATAGGAAAGGAATCCTGCTTTCCAGAGCGTAAGCTCTCAGCTGCAAATCAAAAGGTTGGGGGTTCGAACCTACCCAGTGCCTCTTTGAGAGAAAAGTCCTGGCAGTCTGATCCCACTAAGGTTCAATAACAACAGCTCATAGAACCGATTTGGGGCTGACTCTCCGGTGGGTTTTCATAGACAGTGAATTTTACGGGACAAGATTGCCTATCTTTCTCCCATGGAGAGCAACTGGTGGATTCAAACCACCTACCTATCTCAACTCCCTACCTAGAAAACTCGTGGGAGAGTTCTGGTCCATCATATGGATTTGCAGTGGGTCAGAGTTTGTTCCTCAGCATCTCACAAACCGGTGTATGAAGAAATTGTGCAGCAACCAAGGATGTTAGACACACTTTCTCAATCACTTGCTATGCACCTGAGAGCTGGACAATGACTAAGTATGACAGGAAGAATCTATGCCTTCAAGTTGTAGGGCTGGAGATTATGGAACACACCATGGATTGCCAAGAGAACAAACAGGTCTATGCTGGCGTGGGTGAAACCGCATTGCTCCTTGGAGGCAAAGATTTTGAAACTTTGTCTCACATACT